GTGGGGAAAATTGTACTAAAATCAACTCAGAGAGGCAGAAATAGGAAAATAAAAGAAGAATAGTAAACATGAAGGATAGAGTTAAAAGGTCCAATATATGTCTTTTTTTTTTTCAGTGCAAAAACCAAACATTTATTAGGCATCTACTCATTACAGGCGCTAGGCACTTTCTTTTATGCCTGAGATACATTAGTGATAAAATAGTCCCTGTCCAATGGAGTGAATATAAATGTCTCCAGGAACAGCACTGAAGAATATTCCCCTTTCTGCGCCTGTAGGTTTTATTTCACTGTTATTGCAGTGCGTACCTTCGACACAGATTGCAGTTGTTTGTTTACATGTCGGGGTTCCCGTCCTGGACTGCGGCTTGGGGATGGCGGGGGTGTCATAGCTTATTCATCTGACACAAGGCCGGCATTCAGTAAATGGCAGTAAAATGAACAAAGGAAACTGGATTGCCCAATAGGCTGTCGACGTCTAATGTCTGAGGGAGATTGTGCTTATCTTGGTCTCAGAGGAAAATCGGTGTTTTTTTCCCCAAATATCTTAAAAAAAAATTAATGAATTTATTGGAGTAACATTGGTTAATAAAATTAGATAGGTTCCAAGGGTACAATTTTATAATACATCACCTGTATATTGTATTGTGTGTTCACTACCCCAAGTTAAGTCTCTTTTGTCACCATTTATCCACCCTTTACCTTCTGCGCCCCTTTTCTCTCTTGTAATCACCATACTGTTGTCTGCTTTCCCCCTTAATACCCTCGCCTGCCTTTTTATTTTTGATTTTTTTATATTAAATCTTTATTCAGATTATTACAGTTCTTCCTCTTTTTCCCCCCATAGCTCCCCTCCACCCAGTTCCCACCCCACCCTCTGCCCTTACCGCCCCCACTGTCCTCATCCATATGGGTACGATTTTTGTCCAGTCTCTTCCCACACCCCCAACACCCTTTTCCCCCCGAGAATAGTCAGTCCACTCCCTTTCTATGCCCCTGATTCTATTATATTCACCAGTTTATTCTGTTCATCAGATTAATTATTCACTTGATTTTCAGATTCACTTGTTGCTAGATGTGTATTTGTTGTTCATAATTTGTATCTTTACCTTCTTCTTCTTCTTCTTCTTCTTCTTCTTCTTCTTCTTCTTCTTCTTCTTCTTCTTCTTCTTCTTCTTCTTCTTCTTCTTCCTCTTCTTTAAGGATTCCTTTCAGCATT